AATTCAGAGTCTGTTCCAAATGTAGAGTGGTGGGGTCTGTGTTATTTTAAGTGTATTCAATAGTACTACCTCACTTTGGGATATTAGTTTTTATTTTCAAGTCATTTTCTCACATTAAATAATTGTTACTTTGCAGGGTCATTTTGACAGTACACACAAGGACAAGGATTAATGGCAGGTCTCTTTAATGACTTTTCATTGTGTCTTTAATTTTTATTGAATGTTTTTAATTGAAGTAGAATTACTTCACTTTTTATTTTATTTTCTTCAGCCCCTCCCAGCTATCTTTTCTCAACTTCCCCATTCCTCCCTACTCAAATTGTACACACACACACACACACACACACACACACACACAGAGAGAGAGAGAGAGAGGGGGGGGGTAGGAAAGAGCAAGAGAGATCCTAATATCATTGAAAAGGAGGCTTTAATGTCCTTTTAAATTCCCGTGTAGCAAGAAAGTGTTGAACATTAATATCTTACTGGACCACTAAAAAAATATAATAATAAGAGACCAAAGTTTGTCTTTTATTCTTAAAATGCTACATAAATTATGTTAAAAATGTTTCTTCTTCAATTTTCAAACTCACCAGAAGTGTGAAAAACAAATAATTAATTTGTGCAGCTCATCTCATTCCATAGCTTGATGTTCTGGAAAGGTGTTTTTGTTTTAATTTTATTTTTATCACAACGTGTTATTTCCTTACTACAATTAAAGAAGTGAGGGGAACCTTTTTTTTTTCCTTCAGGTAATTTAGTTTTAAAGAAATGGCTCTGTGGCTGTTCTCTCATCTTTTACTTGTGTGTTCCCCAGGAGCTCTGTCGTTCTACAATTTAATGAAAAACAAGTTATATCTTGATTGGATATGAGTTGTGAATTCTTGACACTCCAGTATGTGACCTGGCAGACCCATCAATGTCACCCTTTAGACCTCCCTTTCTCCCTTCCTCCCTCCTTTCCTGCCTCCCTACTTCTCTCTACCAGTCTCTCTTTTAAGAAAGAAATACAGTGGATGACTGAATAAGGATGGAGATATTCAGGAAGATAAAAGACTCTGGTTCTCATAGGGACTCAGTAGCAACACCAAGGAGTCAGGAAAGGGAAGACTGAAGTTCATATGGGGATTTGTTTTGAGAGTGAGGGGACAGGGGACAGAAATTTAGCTAGTAGTAAAAATCATCCCAGCTATGATCTGGCATATGTGCAGCAGTGTGGTTGAGGGCAAAAGAAGAATACAATAGAAAGTAAAAGGAGAGCTCACTGTTGTCAGTTCATTCTTGTCTCCATTTGTAATTAGTCACATCACCTGGGGCAAATTGAGTTTTGAAATGTCTATTTCCTCATTAGCAAACTTCAAATAACTTACGCAATGAAGATTATGATAGACTGAGAGCTCCAGGCATGCTGCCTGGTACATGAGAAGGGTTCAGCAAATTATCTTCATCATTCTAAAATAAATAATCCATAAGACAAGGAAAAGGAATAATGGAGGACAAGCTAGAACCAGACTGGAAACATTGACTCCCTTTTCCCCCTAGTAGTATCTTCTATGTTTCATGACATTTCATAGTGAGTTATCTTCTGCAGAGTGTGCTTCCCTTTCTGAAATTCCCTTTTGCATTTTGACTTCCTTTTTGTCTTGGAGAAATTGTGTTCGGTTCAATATCAGATCTGGTTAAATTTGTTTATATTAAAGAAGTAAAATATAAAATGCAGAATCTAGTTTTTGCTTTGATAGATAATATTAATTAGTACAAGAAATGTTGTGAATCACCCAATGGATGTCAGGCATGATGATACACACTTGTAATCCCAGATCTTGGTAGTCTCAGATATGAAGGTGGTGATTTTGAGCCCAGACTAGGTCATATAGTGAATTCCAGGACAACCTGGGGTGCATATCAAAACCCCTTTGCAAAAAAAAAAAAAAAAAAGCTAAGAGCCACACAAGAAAGCAAGAGGAGAATTCTTTTCTAATCCAATATTACCCTATGCTCAGAGGCTTATTGCCTGAGTTCCTTCTAATCCAATATTACTCTATGCTCAGAGGCTTATTGTCTTGTAGGAATTCTGGTGGGACGTTATTAAAACCCTGGTATTTTTCACAAAAAAATTGTCTTTGCATATCTTTCTGATGGAGTCTATGGTTTTCATGAGATTCTAAATAAATATTTGGTCTCTGAAATTTAAAATCCGGTGAAATTAGTCCTCTAGAGAATGAAATGATGTCTATATTGTACAGAATTCTTTCCAGCAGCTGCCCACGTAGGTGATAAAGGATGTCAGATCCTATGACTCTGGAGTCTTTGTGACATGGATGATGGAAACTAAACTCAGGTTGTCTGCCAGAGCAGTAGGTACACTACTTAGTGTAGGTAACTACCTTAGTGTTCCTTTTATCTTAATTATCTTAATTGTTCTTTTTCGAGTAATACATAGTGTTGATGGACACAAGAAGTTCCTCATTTTAGTGTTTGCTCCTTTAATGCAAGTGGAGTGTTTTGTCCTACCTCCTATCAATAGAATACTGTCATCAATAGAATGATTGTGAAATGTCTTCAAAACACGGAATCACACATGATGTCTGCTTTTAATTAATCTCTATACCATTCAGTGTAGCACTTTACTATGGAATAATATATTGTCTAATTATTTGATTCACAAGCCTTTTTTTCTAAACTCAGAGCCACATGTCTAGTGCACAGACTGAATCTAGTTCTTTAGTATTAGTGAATACCCTGCAATTCTGAAGGTAGGATGGTATCCTTTGAGAAAGGATGTCTGTGGGTGGCACTCTAAATAGTGTCCATCTCATTAAAATACAAATTGGTCATGTGAGATATTTGTTTGCTAGGAAGATAGATATGAAATATATTATATCAAGCCATTCTCATGTCAATATCATCTCTTGAATGAATAAGTTCTAGCTGCTTTCAGAAATAATTAACTCAATAGAATAGGTTAGACATAAAAGTCTGTACCAGCTATGCTTCAGCTTCCTTGTCTTTAGCAATTATTTGGAAATTTGTTTATGCATAATTATGTAAGCACATGTTCTGAATATCTTATAAATAATAGATATTTATTTTTATAGTTCTGAAGGATGTAAAGTTCTGAGATTATGCTGTTGGTAGACAAGGTGTCTACAGAAGGACACTTCTTGAATTATAGATACCAACTTCCAGCTGTGTCCTTTTACAATGAAAGGAACAAACTCCCTTATATCTCTTATGTGAGGGCATTAATCCCAGTTCTGGGGTTGTAATTCCCTAATCACAACCAAGGGGAACCCTTCCTATTACTTCCTTGAAAGGTAGGATTCGATGTATCAATTTGTGAGGCTACAAATACTTAACCATAGCAGTACCTGCTAAGGATTTTGCAGACTGAGTTTTTACTCTTTTGGAAACAACCATTTTTAGATTTATTTCTTTGTGTGTGACTCTGTGAATGAATATGTATGGTCTGTGAGTGAACTGTGGCATGAGTGTGGTATCATGTGGGTTCTGGCTATTGGATTCAGGTCATCAGGTATAGAGGCAAACACCTTGACCTGGATTTAGTCGTCTTGCTGGACCTCAAGCTCTTTTCAGTATAGTGATAGAGTTAAGTATTCTGTTTCAAGTACAATCAGTACTATGATACTGTAAGCTCACTTGAAGTGAGCAGTAGAACAAAATCTCCTACAGCGACAGATGATAAAGATGTCTGTGTCACAGATTAAAAAAATTATATATATATATATGTATATATATATTCTATATATAATTCATAGGAAAACAAGCAGTGTAAGTATGGACTCATTTGATACAAATCCATAAAAGCCACATTTGTGCCTGTACATGGATGTTTTAAAGAAGAAACCCAGGTTTTGGGAAGCAGAACTTTTTATACAGGCACAGGACATGCATCTCATTCCACTCCAGTGAAAGCTACTCTTCTTATTCTGGGTAACAGGCATGCCTGCCATTTGCTTCAAAGGGAGACACTATCTCTGAATCCTAAGGCTGTTTGCTCTGCACATGTCTTTGAAAAGATAATCTTGAATAAAGGACAGCCAGGGCTCAACTCCCTTAGATGTACAGAAATGTTCCCGATCCACTGAGAATTGTCTTCCAAGTCTGCCTCACTTGATTGTACTTAATAAGCAGCAGGCAGAAAAAAAATTAAAAGAATTTCTGTTTAAGTAACTTTTCTTACTCTATACGAGTGACAGAATCCTTTGTGTGAGGCAGGAATTTTATCTTGATATTAAGTCAGAAATCTTTCAATTTTGGATACAAGTAAATTATTTTCTGAGCAAAAAGCAAGAGAGGATCTCTTTGTGAGTAGCAGGTGTCATGTTTCATGCTGATCAAGGAGCAGTTCCTCACCTTTGGAAGCTTGTGATTCTGACAAAAATGAAAGCCCATCATGATACATGCTGACTAGGTGGTTATTGCGTAAGAAATAGGATGTTGCTCCATAACATCTAACACAGGGTCAGCCATCTTGATTTGAATCTTAGAGTCACGTGGGAATCATACCAGGTCTGAATCCTTGTCCATCTACTCTTAAGTGTCCTAGATTGATCAAAATTTAAATAAACCATTGTGCGCACACCAACTATAGCAAGCAGATGTATGCTAGTTCTTGTTTGCCTGCCTCAGGTCTGGGAGGAAGAGTAAAAATAAAAAAATGATCACCTGTTCATTTTCTGTCTACAGAATGCTCCGTGATTTTTGTGATGAATGTTGTTTTCTGCTCTGTGTTTCATAAAAGCAAACAACAAACAAAACCTTAAGGTATTTCTAGAGTAGAGGAAGATTAGAGTGAAGAATATGCTGTGGTTTCTTGCTATAAATTCTTAGGTTGGAGGGAATGGGTGAGTGAGCTGTTCAGAGCTCTCTGATGTGTCACCACACTCTGATATTAGTTTTTACCATTATATATTTAAGTATGTACATTTTGCTAATATGAAAAAAATAATTTGAAATTACTTTATTATTTCTTTTTTCAGTTTCTTACAATGCCTCTTTAGATGCTTTCATTTCCAGTACAACCAGCAATACAAATACTGTGGTGCTAGCATGGAGAGAGAAGTCAGAGAAACTCCTTAAAATGACATCTTTCAACATTGCCCAGGGCATTCACGCTTTTGATTACCATTCTCAGCTCAATTTAATTGGTATGTAAAATAAATCATGATAACTATGAGGGGCTCACAAATTGTCTAGGGTGCATATTTGTATGCAGGGAAGTACTGTACCTTGTTGCTTTATTGCCAGGGAGACCAACTTGAACAGCTCACATTTTATTGCCTTAGAATGTTTGATAATGATGCATATGATGTGCAGTGCGTTTGAATTACACTGGGGTGAAATATGAGAAAGCACCCCGATGCTTTAATGAGTCTTTTTATTAGAATTGGTAGGGGTGGTAGATGACATAGGGAAAGAAAGTAGTTTGCATAGCATCTGCTAGTCTGTCATCTTCTAACACTGTCCAGTGCTTCCCCAGAACAAATTCATCACTTTCAGTACTCACACACATGTGAGCGCATAGACATGCCCACACCAGTATAACTGCAAATCCTAGATGCTTTTCAGAATACAATTTCTAATGATTTTTGTGAATTTATAGGCTAACATAGCTTTAACTTATTAAGGAAGTATTTTTGACGCAAAAGGTGTAAGAAATATAAACTTTTCCAGGTGCTAATCTTTTAAATGAAATACCTAGATACCCTAAAATTTGAGAATTTGATATATAGATATATAAGTTCAAGCATTATAAAACAGACACGTAGAACTGTTATTGAAAAATTTATAGAGTATTTATAGAGTCCACATATGGCCTATGGTATGGGTCGTACACATCCACATTCAGTAGTTAGCATTCGAATGAAAAATGCTGTTGTTCATTAAGGAAACAGACACTTAAAACAATCGATAATAATAGCTGATATAAAATATTTTAGGACAGGTGGGAGAAGGGAAATGGGATTGCCATGTAAAACAATTCTGTTTCTAATTCAAATAAAAAAGTTGGAAAAACAAAACAAAACAAAACAAAAAAAACACTCCCCCCACCCCCGCACTACTGCTGAAAGATGAAATGGCTCAGGCAAGATCTCAGGGTGTGTCACTTGACACCAGTGACAGAGGACAGACCAGATCAGAGGCAAATCCAAAGTGTGGCCACTCTCAAGAATTTCGTGCATCACTCCTCCACCGTCCCCTACCCCCAGTTCTTAAAAAACAATAATATTTTAGCATAGGCCTGGTGAGATGCAACGACTTCTAAGAATACTCCAGATATATCAGGGAAGGCTGGAGGGGTTGATGAATTAATTTGGCAAGGACTCAAATATCACCCATTTAACTCACTGGCTGACTAGTTATTCAATTCCTCTATACTGATCTGTTGTACCAGTGCAGGAAAACACAATAAGTGCAGGTATATAATCAGTTCAAGACCAAGAAACAACCAGAGAGTTAAATAGCATTCCACATGCTCATATAGTACCTCATTTGGTCTTGAGATGGTCCCTGAATGTAAAGAAGCCATGATCAAAAATACCTGATCCCACAATAAAACAGGATAGAAGCATTTGTGATGCTTGGTGGCTTGTAAATGGTTGATTATTTAAACAGTTGTAAAAATAATATGTTCCTAATACTTCTATTTATTGACTTGTGACCTTTGAATATTTAGTTCATTTTTGACTCTCCACACCCCCCCCACCTAAAAAAACCTCTGTCATTCTGTCTAAATTTCTTGTGTCCCAGAAATAGAGAATTTTGGGGTTAGGAGGAGAAAATGTATTCTCTCCCAGGCAGGCTGTGGGTAATTTACTAAATGAGACAATCTTTTCCCCTTCTAGCCTATGCAAACTCCTGCCTCAAGGTCAATGGCTGTCAACCTGTGGGTCATGATATCAAGCATATCAGTTAAGTTCATTAGGATTCATAATAGCATAATGGCAGCAAAATTAAAGTTGCAAAGTAGCAATAGAATAATATTATGGTTGGGGATTCACCATAACATCAGGAACTGTGTTAAAGGGTCCAGCATTAGAAAGGTGGAGAACCACTGCTCAAGGTCAACTCACACCCTCCATTGAGCTGAACTCAAATTTTTAGTTGGGCGTTGCCAAGATTTTTCTTTCTTCAAGAAAGAAATCATATGTGTAAAACTAATTCAAGAAAATAATTAAAACATTTTATTTTCTTTTGTATTCTGATTAGCAACAGCTGGCATCAACAACAAAGTCTGCCTTTGGAATCCCTATGTTATTTCTAAGCCAGTTGGTGTTCTGTGGGGTCATTCAGCCAGTGTCATAGCAGTCCAATTCTTTGCTGAAAGAAAACAACTTTTCAGCTTTTCCAGAGATAAAGTAAGTAACTCTATACATCTAAATTTTCCATCTCCATTCCCATTTCCCAAGGAAATCTCCACTAGGACCCAAGTTTCCCTGAAAGATGTCTATTGTTCATTCAAACTGGCTAACTATGAAGTCTTGGAGAAATCTGCATTTGGAACAAATATTGATTGATGGTTACTTCACTAGAATTCTGGACAACTGGAAAAAATCATTTCATTAAATTTTTGTTCAAATCATGTATTCATACATTTTATTCTTTTTGTTTGATACTCCATGTCACATCTTAAGAGCATCCAAATTTCTCATTAATTGTACATGGAAAAGAATGGATGTAGGGACAAAAAAATGCTGTTTGGGTAAAATAGTGAAAAGGCACAGTTGACTATTATCACTTTACTATTAAAAAACTTGTTAAATTATAAATTTAAGCTAATTGGAAATATCATGTATATGATAAATTTCAAGTAAATGTCTGATGATCTTGATGGGATTCTTTTGTCTGAATTTGGAGATATTAGGGATCTGACTGAGAGCCTCACATGTGCTAAACACACTCTCTATCATTGAGTCATGTCCTCAGGCCTTGATGGGACATTTTCAACATTGTGGAAAATGACCCATGAATCCTGTAGCCTACATTGACTTCTGAGTACACTATGGTATCTTATTAAACAAATTTCTTAATCTCCAAAGAGTTTGCCTTTTATGTATTGTCTAATTTCCATTTTTACATAATTCTGAACTTTAAAGATTCATTGGCAGTATAATAGATTCTTGGCTGGATGGGTGGCTCCGTGGTTCAGAGCACTTGCTGCTCTTGCAGAGGACATAGGTTCTTTTCCTTGCATCCTCATGGTTGGGTTCACAACCACCCATAATTCCGGCTTCAGAGGACTAAAACCCTCGTCCGAACTCTGCAGGTACCAGGCACACATGTGGTGCCATGTGCATATGTACAGGCAAGCACACACATGGACAACCATCCACCTGCCCACCACACACACAATGATAGATTTCAAGATACCTTCTGAAGAGAAAAGTGGATAATAAGTGGAAATAGTCTCTGAGATTCAGAGAATTTTGCTCTGAATTAGAGGAATGCATCTGTGCTATAGGTGAAACTATGAAACTTAGAAATTCATCTTCGCCTCAAGCCATACTCCTTTCCCCTTAAATGTTACCACACATCTGCCAACCCTTGTTTATTCTGTCATCAAACTCTGTTTATCATCTGGCCTCTCTCTTCACCTCAGCTGCCATTGTTCAAATTTATCTTTCTTGGGCATGGTAGTACAACCTTTAAATCTCAGCACATGGGGGAGGCGAGGCAGGTGAATCTCTATTCATTCAAGGCCAGTCTTGTCTTACAGAGTGAGTTCTCAGCAATCCAGGGACATAGTGAGACTCTGTGTAAAAACAAACCAAACCAAATTAGAACAGAACAAAACAAAACAACAAAAACAAAGAAAGCCTCATCTTTTTAATTCTAAAACACTACAAATATTGCTTACCATGTCTTCTTACAGCAGAAAAATTTCTTTCCATTCTGCTAGTAAAGTACTTTTCAAGAAAACAAACAAATCAATGAATGAAAAACCTTCAGTCTCTCATTTCTACACTCTATTTAATTATCTTAAATTCTTAACTTTCAAACGAAGCCCTCCTCTAATTGGCCTGCCTACTGCACTTCCTTTTCTTCTCATTTATTAATTTCACACTCAGGCAGTATTAACTCTTGGCCCATAACACCATACATTTTCTTGGCACTGCAATTCCACATTCTCTGGAAGTTTCCTCTCCTCTGTTACAATCTGATAGAGAGGTGTTTGTTTGAAGTTTCTCATGTAGACGTGGGTGTTTCCTTCTGTGTACTCCAAATGTTCTTCATTAGAACATTGTCATCATTAATTTGCTTCCTTAAGATGTTAGTATTTTTTTAAACTTGTATTCTCAGTATCTTCCAAAACCTCTGACATACTGTAGGATTTATCTTGTGACTACATGTTTCTAGCTCCAAATGAAGAACTATTTCTTGGACATAAATTAGCAGAGAAACTCAGAATAAGACCTCTTTGGATGCTCTCCTGGATTTAGTTGTCTCACTTTTTGGGGTCTTTGAATATTTTGTTCTGACTTCAATTATTGAACTATCTGTACTGTGTTTCTTTATCTTTAAATTTTGACTTGAAGGTAATAGTTATTTGTTAAATCCATTCTTATTATTTCTAGGATCTAGAACATAATAATACTTTAAACACATGCTAGAAAATATAATATGTAAGTAGTGTAACTGTTAAATCACTTATTATTTTTGAAGTTAGGGACTGTATCTTTCTTGGGTTGTGCCATGTTTGTGCAAGGTCCTCAATAAATTATAGTTAAGTGAGTAAATCTGAACCAGACAAAAAAGAAACAATTATCAGATATTTCATCATTATGGAGCTCCGTGAGTGGTTTTATAACCTTAAAGGCAAGTGCAAAACATGTATTTTGAATCGGGATTGATCTCATACAGCTGTGATCAATAATAAGACTTCCTGGCCTTTTCCCAAAGCAGTTTTGTTCTTCAATTTTCACTTTGGTCTCTAAACTGTTGCATCATTATAAAGCTTGTCATGTTGCCGCTCACATTGGTAGAAATGCATTTCACTTTGATGAATGTGTGACAGTCTCACTCTTTATGTCTACAGCAAACAGCAGGGCTTTCTTCTACTGGGCTAAGCCTCTGCTTTATTGCTGCAAAATTCTTTTGGATATTTTATATTACTGTAGTGAAATTAGACCTCGAGGGAAAATGAAACATCACATTGCTTTCTAACAGTGTTTGATTAGATTGTGCTAGCATCAATCAATTGCTAAATTAGAGGATTTGTGGATCAAAGAAAGTCAAATCTAAAAAACTTCCCCACAATATGGGCTGCAACTTTAGTTCGTTCAGGGAGGTTGTCATATTGCCAGCCTTTTATTTCTTTAAAACTCATATCATAATAAATTATCATAGTTTAATGGCCTTTTATTTTGGATGCCTCCTAAGCCATTGTTTCTAATATGCTAGTGACTCATGGAAAGGTCCTGCTCGAAACTGGTCATCTGCTCATTTAAACAAGGGACTATAAGGGCAGGAGAAGGTTTCTTTGCTGGGGGCTAAACATTCCACTAAGAATGCTGAATGCAGCTCCCCTTTGCTCCTAACTGTTCTCTCATGGGATGCTAATCCGGATTTGGCCACCAGGATCATGATAATTTTTTTACTTAATCCTTTGAGGTGCTGATGTTTCCCAGATCCCATCTACTCTCTAGAACTATGGCTGGCAAGAGAAACACTGGGGTTGATGACTAGAACTTATCCATTGGTCCTGACTCATTCACATTTCCATTTGTTCCTCTGGGGGTACAGTATTTTCATTTTGTTTCAATTACACAAGTAAATGGTTTAAGTCTCTTCTTTAAAAACTACAAATGCTGAAGATGTATATGGAGGGCAAAATAGGAAACATCTTCTTTCTCACTTCTCTGTCAAAGCTATTTCTGTCTCAGGAAATAATTATGAACCCTTGATGTTCCTCTTATACAGTACTCTTATATACTTAATATATCATTGTTGCATGTTGTTATATATTATTCTTATGTATGAATATATATAAGATGGTATTTATTATTTGTATATGTGTATCATGCACAATATATTTTGAGAATATATATTACATATATGTAATATTATCTACGTATATTATATATATTCACTTTGTGTCACTGTCTTCTTTCTCTTATATATCTATTTTATAGTATAGATGGCCATGATTCTGTTATTTAATCACTGATTGACTTAAAAGGTATTGTTCCTAATTTATTTTTAGACCAGTAGCATTCAGTTTTACCTTAGGTCTCTGGGTTATCTAGTCTCTGGTTCCTAGTTATCTAAGCAGTGCCAAGTATGGGTTCCATCTTATGGAGTGGGTCTTAAGTCAAATCAGACATAGGTTGTTTACTTCTACCCAGTTTGTGCCATCATTGCCCTTGCATATTTTGTAAGCAGGACAGATTGTAGATCAAAAGTTTTGTGGTTGGTTTGATGTTTGTTTCTCTTTTGGTACCCTGCAGAGTACCTTTCCATGTCATAGATATAGTACATAGGCGTGAAGTTTGTATGTAGGCAACAGCTAGACATTTCCATGTTCAGTGAGTTATGTGGTTGCTATATTTAGCAATGGGGCCTTGTCAGTTTGTGGAGAAAAAACTACTGTCTTGTCAAAAGATTGAGTTCGACTGGGTGGTGATGGCACATGCCTTTGATCCCAGCACTTGGAAGGCAGAGGCAGGTGGATCTCTGTGAGTTCGAGACCAGCCTGGTCTATAAGAGCTAGTTCCAGAACAGCATCCAAAGCCACAGAGAAACCCTGTCTCAAACCCCACCCGAAAAAGTCTGGGTTCCATGAATCCCCTTGGCCAACAAGTCAATTGTATGAAACCCAGTACTGGAACTGGAAGCTTCATTTGGTGACAAGAGATATCCAGTTGGGGTTCTGTCTCCCTCATTATTTCAAGACTTTGGATTACCTTTATATATTATAGAAAGTTTCCACTACACTAGGTTTCTAAACTGCTCCCCTCAAATACCCTTCGATTCTATCTTTCTTCTTATTCTTTCCCTCAATCTCATCTCCCCTTCCCTTTTCCATCTGATCCTTCCATTTTTGATCCCCCCCAGTGTCCCCCCTGCCAAAATGTTGGCCTCCAGTCCACCCATAAAATCTATTCTATTTACTTGTCCCAGTGTGATCCAGGTGTCCCCACTAGTGTCTCTTCATCTATGCCTAACCTCTCTAACGATTGTTGTTTGGTTATCATTTATTTAATGGTGAATATTTTGATATGAGTGAATACTGCATTTTTATCTCTATCTCTCTGGGTTACATCACTCAGGATGATTCTTTTCTAGTTGCATCCATTTACCTGAAAATTTCATGTCATTCTTTAAAGAGCTGAGCAATACTCCACTATGTAAATGTACC